AATCCCACCCCATCAGCAGCAATAGAAGTGTTCTGAAAGGACAGACATCCCTGTCTGCTCTGGGTGAGTCTCTGCTCCAGGGGCTGGCTGTGTGGTGAGCCTGGAGCAGGGTCCTGCACCCACAGCTCACCTGGGCTCAGGTGGAGCTGGGGAACTTTGAGGCAGGACTGTGCTGCAGGAAAGGGGTGGCTGATAAGCAGAAGGAGCTCCTGCCCCTCTCCTCCAGTGGCTCCCAGCCCTGGGCTGGCTGTAGCCATAAACCCCCAATCTCTGCTCTATCTCCCGTCATAAACATCTCAGCTCAAGGCCTGGCATGGCAACCTCCAAAAGATAAAGCCATCTTAGGCTGAACATGGTACAAAACATTCAGTTTTTATAGAGCCCTCTTATCTCCCAAAACTCAGAGCAATCCTGCCTTTTTATCACCGGGACAAGAGCCATCCTTCCTGCTCACCGTTAGGAATTGCTGCTGCTTGATTAAAGTGGAGGGCATGATGTATTTGCCTGAACATTAAACTCTAACTGACCTCTCCCTCTCCTCCAGTATTGTGCTTTTTCCTGCTGGGAGGCCCCGGCCAGGCCTGGCTCCAGCCTGGCTGGGTCCCTGGGGGTGTAGGAGTGACCTGGGGGCACGGCAGAGCCTCGTGTGCTTTGTGCTTCTGCAGGAAAACTGCAGCCCTACAGCATCTGCTGGTCCTTGGGGGCATGGCCAGCAGGGCTGGGCAGCTTGGAGCATCCCTGGAGCTCCCATCTTCACTGCCTCATCCCACAGAGGAGGAGGAACCTGCTGGTCACTGTCCCTACAGCCCCTCCCAGAGCCCTTTCTTTGCCTTCCCCATCAATGCACAGCTCTAGGACCAATTCAGCAATCAATCACCATTTTCTTAGTGCCTTTTAGAAAAAGGGAGTTACCCCCTGCTCTGAGCAGCCTTCCAACCTGCATGAAAACACCTTGGAGCTCTCCCTGCTAATTCCTGCATGGAGGAAATCCAGATCATTTGGAGAGGCAGATCTGGGGCCTCGAGAGCAGCAGGGCTCAGAGCCCACCACTGCCTTCCTGTCCAGGATTGATGCAAGGAACAAAGTCCCACCTAAGCACCACGGCTGCCATCCAGGGCTGATGGAGGATGGAAAAATCCCCCAAAACACCAAGAAGCTTTTGGAAAAGAAATGGCCATGAATAAATACAGCTGGGGATTTACAGGCCAGCACTCCAGGCTGGATGTGGGCGCCTTCTCCGGTGTGCTGCCATCATGAGAAGGTATAAGCACCTGATTTTATGGGTGCCTAAATAAATACATGGAGCTAATATATCACAATACAGGGCATATTTATCTGCCTTGCAGGAGTGGGACAGAATCAGACGGCAGTGTCTCTCTCAAGGCCAGCCCCGCTGTAATTCATGCCCCGAGGCAGCAGCCAAGGGGAGGAGGAGGAGGAGGAGGAGGAGGAGGAATAATTCTGCAGGCAGCAATATTGATGGGCTACTCCCAGAAGCTTTGTTTTAATTAATTTTCAGAGAGCTCCATGCAGTGGATCAGGCAGCTCTTTCAAAGCCTCCTCCCCGTGCTCTTGTGCAGGGTCTGGGGCAGGGGGGTGAGCCTGGGAGCCCCATACTCCTTCGAGCCCCCAGGTTTTTGGTTAAACAGTGCAGAAACTGTTCTGTTTTTAAACAAGGGGGGTTCCCCCTGGCCAAGAGGCCTCTGATGGCCATGGTGTGGGCAGGTGAATTTGTCCCAGCTTTTCTCTTCCCCTTTTTATTGACTTTGTTCTGGTTCCTGCCAGAGGTCAGTGGGGCGTTGGCTGGACTTTGCCAAAAGTCCACCCCAGGCATGTGGCTCCCAGGTGCTGACGCAGAGCCCTGCCCTGAGATACGAGGGGACTGAAGAGCAGCTCTGCAGCCCGGTCGGGTGTGTGGTGGTGAGGCTGGAACGGGGCTGTGCCAGCTCCAAAGCTTTCCCTGAGTAAGCAGGTTTGGGAACCTGAACTGCATTTGCCCTGTGAGCAGCAAGGTGACAGCAGCAGCCACAGCTCGGTGCTGAATCCGGGCTGACCCAGCTGACATGACGGGACCTGTCCCCATCCAGCACGCCATGGCGAGTGACACAGAGCCCTCCAACGCCATCAAACTGCTGCACCTGTTCGTCCTGTCCACCTCCTGGGGAATGCAGGTCTGGGTGACCTTCGTGGCCGGTAGGTTGGGCTGCGCTGTGCTCTCTGCCCTGGGGGGTGGCATGGGGAGGGGGCTTTGCCCCAGGACTCACCTGGGTCCTTTGCAGGGTTTGTGATGAGCAGGCACCTCCCTCGCCACACCTTTGGCTCCATCCAGCGCGAGCTCTTCCCCTACTACTTCCACATCAGCTCCACCTGTGCCTTCCTCAGCCTGACCCTGTTTGCCATGTCCCACCCCAGCGAGCAGCTCAGCCAGGAGCACAAGACCCAGGTATATTCCCCCTTCCTCACACACAGCCCCAACCCCTTCCTCTGCTCTTCTGGCTGGCTCGCAAACTGTGGAGACCCATACACAGTTAAAAGAAGCCCACAAGCACCCAAACTGCAGCAAGCCAGGGGGCCTGGGGGAGAAATTTAACTCCCCACCCATGGGGTGGCTTTGCTCCCTGCAGACCATCATCTTCCTCGTGTGCATCGCCGCCTCGGTGCTGAACACGCAGTGCTTCGGGCGGG